CTAACAAAAAAGGAAAGCTGGTGAGGTGCTTGATAGACAACCTAGACGTCTTTGCATGGACCCCAAGTGATATCACCGGGGTCAGCCCAGCACTCCCTTAGCATCGCCTCAGAGTCCTACCCGGAGCCAAACCAGTAAAGCAGAAGAAAAGGAACCTTGCCCCCGAAATGCAAGAAATAGCAAGGGCGGAAGTGGAAAAGCTACTGAAAGCAGGTTTCATCTGAGAGGTACGATACCCCGAATGGTTAGCCAACATTATGCTAGTAAAAAAGTCAAATGGAAAGTGACGCATGTGCGTAGATTATACCAGATTGAATAAAGCATGTCCTAAGGACTCATACCCACTTCCACGGATAGACTACCTCGTCGATGCCACATCGGGTCACGAGAGGCTCAGCTTCCTAGACGCTTTCTCGGGGTATCATCAAATCTCTATGGCTGAGTGCGACCAGGAGAAGACGTCGTTCATCACAAATTCTGGAACCTACTGTTACACTGCCATACCTTTCGACCTGAAGAATGCAGGTGCAACTTACCAGAGAATGGTGAATAGGGTCTTCCAGGAATTGATTGGAAATGTCATAGAAGTCTACGTCGACGATATGGTGGTAAAAAGTATTAAGTCCGTTGACCACGTGGCTTGTCTGCAGAGAGTGTTCGACATAACCTACGTGACTAGGCGGAGAGCCTTAACAAGCCAAAAATTGGCTAAGGCCCTAACCGCTAGACCCCTCTCCCAACGGTCGACATAGCCTACACGGCTAGGCGGAGAGCCTTAACAAGACAAAAATTGGCTAAGGTCCTTAACTGCTAGACCCCTCTCCAGACGGTCGATATAGCCTACGCAGCTAGGTGGAGAGCCTTAACAAGCCAAAAATTGGCTAAGGCCCTTAACCGCTAGACCCCAATCCAAACAGTCGACATAGCCTACGTGACTAGGCGGAGAGCCTTAACAAGCCAAAAATTGACTAAGGCCTTTAACCGCTAGACCCCTCTCTCGATAGTCGACATCGCCTACGCGGCTAGGCGGAGAGCCTTAACAAGCCAAAAATTGGTTAAGGCCCTTAACCGCTAGACCCCTCTCCCGACGGTCGACATAGCCAACGCAGCTTGGCACGGGGTAACACAAGGCTAAAATTGGCTAGGGCCAGCGACCACTAAACTCTAACAGCCACTCCCCTGCACCATCAAACAGTGAAAAAGAAAATGAAGAAGGACGACACGAGAGACAACAAGTTAAGGAACAATGCACTCAACACTAATAATAGCGAACGAAAAATGTGTTTATACATATGAGAAATTCTTGCCCACACCCCGAACAAGTAGGAGATAATGAGACTAAACAAAAGTAAACACAAAAAAAGAAAAGCTAGCAAAGAAAATAACAACTAAGAAATGCTTTAGCTCGAAGGGGAGACATCCCCACTACCACCTTGTGATTAACGTCCAAGTGACTTGGATGACTGTGCTCTACTCTCCTTCGCCTTGCGCTGCGCAAGAAACTTATCTAGACCAGAGGGGACTATAGAAGGATGCTCGGCCATAATCCACTCCTTGGAAAGTTTGATAGACGCTGCCATCGCCTTCCCTCTATATGAATTCAAGACCTTAGCATAATCAGATGACATCTTATACTGCTCCACAGATATCTCGAGATCTCTGGCATACTCAGTTGAGGCCTTATACTTCTCAATCGTCTCCTCCGGAGTGCGACCCAAAACAAAACGCAAGTTGTCGTTCTTCGTCTCTTGCTCGCGAGCTCGAGCATCCGACGTCTCCAGAGATTTCCTCAAGGAAGATATCTTTTTCTTGTAGTGATGAGCCTCCTTTTTCTTTTCTTCAGTAAGAGTCTTCAACTTCGAGACTAGTTGGCGATTCGATTCAGGGAGTCCGGTCTGGAGGGCTACCACCTAAGAAATGACGGGGTAGAATAAAAGTCAAGCGTTAAAACTAAGCTTAAAAGGAAAGACCCAACATAAAAGAAAATGTGAAATTGAAAACGCACCCTCTGGAGATAAATACCCGCAGCCCTTTCAATGTCGTCTGCACTATGCCCTGCAATTGTTCTAGAATGAGTGGGCGTCACCAAAAACTTGAGCACCCCCATCTCATGATAGCCCCGAGTGGGAGGAAACCCGAAGTTGGGAAGTGAATCCTTGAGCTCACACCGTGCACGGCTGGAAGCACCCAGCCTAGGAGCTGGAGCCACCTCATGAGGCTTGTCTGAAGGCTGGGAGTTCTCTGGTTGATCGCCCAAGACTTCCCCCCTTGGTCGGCCGCCCTCTTTCTCTTTGAAGGGATAGGTGATGGATCCGCCTCATCCCCCTGCCCCTGGTCGAGCATGGAATCCATGATCCCTTCAAGATCAAGCTCTGCCCCTACACATGTAAGTTAGAATCCGTGAAGATCACAAGGTAGAAGAGCACGAGGATAATAAAAAAAAAATTCAAACCAACCCAAATAGAGAAAATTGCTACCCCTCGCCGAAAACATCGACAAGGGATAGGGTAGAGGAAGTCACCCTCGACGACAAACAAGATAGATCACTACACTTTGATGCAAGGCCATCGACCCTTAAAGGGTGCTCTACCACTATCCCCAAGTGGTGCCCGACCACCATGCACGGCCATCGACCCCCAGGGGCGCTCTACCACTATGCGAGGCCGTCGACCCCCCAGAAGCGCGTCTACCACAACCCCCAGAGGGCACTCTACCACTGCGCGAGGCCGTCAACCCCCCAAAGGAACTCTACCACAACTCCCAGGGGACGCTCTACCACAACCCCCAAGGGGCGCTCTATCACTACACGAGGTCGTCGACCCCCCCGGGGCGCTCTACCACTACCCCTAGAGATTGCTCTACCTCTACGCGAAGTCTTTAATGGGCATGAAATTGTCTATCCAAACACTTAGCCATAAAATCTCTAGTGAATTGACTAAATTCCATGGCAATTAATACGGGAACAACCTTTACGTGGGAAGTTAAAGACCCCTCACTCAAAACGTGGGGATAGTGGGAATGCCAATGTGAGACACGTGGCACCACAACCGCCCAGTGGTTATCCAGCTCCCAATATCTATAAATACCTCCGGATGTGACACAGGTAAAGGGCTCTCTCTCTCTCTCTCTCTCTCTCTCTCTCTCTCTCTCTCTTTTAAGCCATTTGAATTCCAATTGCATTTTTTCCAAGTCTAAAAACTAATTCTCATGCCGGAAATAAAACGGGGGAGGACGCCTTCATTTTTCAGGTCACACATACTTGACGGAATAGTGGGAACGCCGAACGCCACCAGGTAGATAGAAGGGTATTGTTCCACAACCATTTCAGACAGTGTCCTAATTGCCAAACTATTTATTCATAGGAAAGATGCATCTCCTGGTATTCCATTAGGGCTTGAGTTGTCAAATCCCTATGTTATTCACCAATGTATTCTTCAACAAACGTAGCAGGGCACTCTACAATTAATATCATATCGATCAAACATATAAGCTTTATGACACGTTCGATACGTTACATTGGCAGATATGACACGAATACAATTCTTAGTTTCTATTAAGTAACGCCGTGTATCTTCAATCTACTACTTTATTTGATGTGTGTTATTTTACACCCTGAAATAGGCATTGTCAATTAGATTATTAAATTTGCAAATTTCTTCTTTGCACCATTGGTCTCTATTTTATTGCCTCAATAGCAAATTAGTCTTTAGCCTTTAAACTAAAAGTATTTTGATTTGAGCCTGTAGTTATTGTTGCCCACATGGTGCAAGATTTCCATCCTAAAGTTAGTTAAAATGTCAAAATTTTCGGTATGATGGAACGTCGTTCCATGACATCTGAAAGGAACGTTTAGGAGAAATAGATTGGGTCTACAACAATACATATGAGCTGGTCCGTCTAACAGATGAAACCATCTAAATAGAAGTTGGGCTTTAGAAAAAAGCCTCCTGTTCAGGGTTGGGCCGCTGTCCCCAACCTTGGACGAGAAGTAGAACTGTGAATTTAAAAAATGTCTTGTGGTCCCCATCCCCATTGTGAGTAATGAGTGAGGAGTTTGTTAAAAAAAAAAAAAAAAAAGTTTGTACATGTAAAAAAAAAGGTTGAACCCCAACTTTAAAGATCCCCCACCGCCTCGTCCCTGGAGCATCAAGAGAGAGGTTAATTGCGAGATGTGCCTTAACAGGCAAGGAAAACAAGAGCTATATGTACACTGGTGCTCACAAAGAGTCTCATTCCATATTTCAAGAATCGAACTCTTACACTGCGGCTACCAGTAAGGTTGAGTACATCTCACCCTTATCATTTGCACCATTGGGATATGTCCCGGGGGACAAAGTTTGTACATGTAGCATCTTCCTTATATTATGGATAAATATATTTATACAAAATGTTGTTGACAAAATAATGTACTCACTCTCACAAAATTAGCGAACTCCACGTGAATTTAAAAAATGTCGGTTTGTGATCTCCCACCCCTATTATGAGTAGTAAGTAAGGGATTTGTAAAAAAAGTTTATACAGGTAACATCTTCCTTATATTATATTCCTGGAAGAATTGGAGAGGACTCAACCTATATTTTCTAAAGATTAGAGATGCCAGTTGAGGCAACATGTTTGACCAAAGCTAAAAAAATAAGGAAAAGGCACTTGTGCTGTAATTTCCATGCATTTCCTCGTCTGTTTCTTTTAGGCCTATTACGTTTGCATTTTTGCGACCTTAGATCCCATTTGGTACCCATTTTTTTTTAATTATATTTTTTCTCTTCTTTTCCATCACACATTCTTTATTAAAATTATATTATACGTAAATAAAAAATTTTTTATTATCTTTTAATCACACATTTTTCATCAATTTACTATTCAAAAATATATTTTTACATAAAAATAACTCTCGAACACCCTTTTAGTTTTCTTTACGAAATACACATTCTTAAGCTTTCGTAGAAATGAAAACATAGACTTTTTACCCACATAAAAACAAAAGCAAAAGATCCAAAAAATTTATATATTTACTTGGGGAGGCTATACAACTTCTCTTTATCCTCTCCGTGCGTTTAAATGATCTGATACTTCTTCAAACTGTATGTAGTGATGAGTAGAATTTATGACAATTGGGAAAGGCTGGTCCGAGCCACGTTAAAGAGAGAGGAGTTTCGGGAACTTGCTCGTGCCCACTCCAGGAGCCCCAGCGTCAGCTCTGTTCCGTCAGATTTCAGTTCGAATTCTCCCTTTCATGATCATGTTCCTGAGAGCTTTTTGGTCCCTCAAGGTATGCTTCTTATGATAACGAAACAATTAGGATTCTGTCTTCTTCTATGACCAACTTTATATCTTTTCCACCTTTTTCCTTTAAAACTTCTCAAGATTCAAGAATTTTGAGCAAATTCAACTATTTTTCAGCTTCTTCCAGCCAAAGCATCCCGTTTAGCCAGAAGAGGAATTTTCAATTAGAGACTTTCAAGTATCGTGAGGTAGGTCCGGAGTTTGGGGACACTACTTGGAAAATTCTGGATCATGCCTTTTCCCAAATTTACAATCGCGACTCTATTGACTTCACCTTTGCAGAACTCTACAGGTTATTGAATTCCCTTTTTTTAGTATTTGAGTCAACTTTTGTATTTATAATACTAGTCATATGTGGACATCACGAGTTAATTAATCTATGTAGTTGAGTCGACTTCTTATGCCAGTGTTGTGCTGAGTTGATTTATGTAGTTTTGATTATCTTGAAGTAATTTCACAGTGTTTGATTTATGTATTTCGAGTTGGAAGAAAACCAGAAGAAATAAATGCTTATTGAAATTTTAAGTCGAACTCAAGTTATTCGTTTCTGAGTTATAACCTGATTATTTTCATATTTAAACCATGTAGGATCTTAACCTTCACATTTTATCCAAAACACACTGAGAATTTGTAACCTCTGATGCACATTGCCTTAAAATTTTCCGGAATGGACACTGTAGTTAGCAATTACTATGCGTTTCCTCCTGGTATATCAAAGGTTGTTGCTAATCCATCTGATTTCTTGTATGCTTAGGTCTCTTTGACCAGTCAAAATATTCTTGAACAGAGATGGTGGTTATGTAGTGTTCATTTCTTAATCATTACTTACAGTGTTGTGTTGTGTTGTTTGTCGGGGAAAACAGATTATGAAGTATAAATCACTTAGAGAGTCCATGGTTGCTGCATGAATAAATTAGAAGGGAAAGACTCAGATGCCTAGCTCGAAAAAATGATCTGATTCTTAACAGTTACAGAGTGCTAGTGTGACATTCTGTTTGATATTATCGGGTAATTTGAGACGAGTGATGATAGTGTTTTTGCCTCATAAATTTATTGATTTCACATCTGAAACTATTGATACAATCACTGAAATGACATTACCCGGCTTATTAGAGTAGAGATTCTATAACGGCGCACTATGTGTTAGCGACTAGCTGATGGTTGGCCTTTTTTGTGATATTGGACATATCCGTTTTGTGGAAACGATTGATGCTTTTTCTGGAACATGGTCCACTTTTTTCTGTTTCTTTGGCCACCTAACAAGTACTATTTGATCGAGGTGAGAGAAAGTGCAAAATGGTTTTTTTTTTTTTTTTAATATAAGTAAATGTAAAATTCTGTTGATCAAAATCCATATACAAGTACACTAGGCAAAAACAAATGATTTATACAATTACTCCGGGCATACCTGGGTAAACAAAAAGAAAGGATGTGCTAAAAAATAATAATAATAAAAAAATAAAAAAAATCAATGACCCAACACTAAGGACTCAAAATGAATCAAGATAAATGGATACAAAGAAAACATAACTTTGTATACGTGTATTTTAATTCGTCTCACAATACTATCCAAGCGTGGTCTAAGATTTTAAAAAATCTTTCTATTCCAAGCTATCCAAATGTAGTAAACGGTACTTGCAAGTGCAATTCTCTTGGCCTTGCTTTGCCAAGATGTCCCACGAGCCTCCTTTTTTATCCACTTCAACGCACTGGCAAGTGTCGTCATAGATCTTCTAATGCCAAGCCACTATTTGATCCTCCCCTATAAGGACGATGTGAACGAACATTTAAAGAACAAGTGTTGGCTTGTTTCTGTTGTTTGTCCGCAAAGAATACAATTCCAGTCAATATCCAAGTATTGCAATTTGTCTTTGGTTAGGAGTTTAGATTGAACACCTAACCACGGCAAAAATGAGTGCTTCGGTGTTATGCAAGAACTCCAAACATCAACTGCCCAAATCTTCTTAGTTCCTCTCGGCCGGAAGTAATCATATGCCTTACTAGTGCAAAATTTATCCCTGTAGTCCAGGCCGTAAGTCTATCCATAGCTGCCTGAATGAAATCAACAACAGTCCGTGTCCTTGTGTCTGCCTGAACAGCTGCAACATGCTGACCTGCGGCTGCCTGAACTGGACGCAACAAGCTGCCCCTAGCATCAGCCTGAACGGACTGCATAGGCTGTCCCTATGTGTCAACCTGGAAGAACACAGCAGTTTGGTCCAGTGCATTCCTGATTTCCAGCAGTTTTTTAAAGAGAGGCGAGTCATCTTTCCTTGTTGAAACATCCCAAATACTTGCCCCTTTAAGATAGAATTGATTTACCCAACGTATCTAAAGAGTATCCTTCTTTTGATGTATGTTCCAGAGTGATTTTGCAAGTAATGCTGAATTCCAACTCTTCATGTCTTTAAAACCGAGGCCACCTTCATCTTTCAGTAGGCAAACATCCCTCCAAGCTACCAATGCTTATTGTTATGTTCAAGTTCAGCGGAGTAAATGAAAAATATTCGTTCTTTACTAGATATTGATATGTTCTGACAAACTGGAAGTTGGAATATAATGGACAGGTGATTGAGCTCACGTGAGCTTTCTGTGAAACCCCAAAATCTATGAAGGAGTAATCACCACCAAAAGAAGCAAGGGCCATGTGGGCCTTCGACAGCACACAACTTGTCTATCTCGCATGCTCGTCACCCTCTCTATTTCAACTTGATCGAGATAGTTGACGCATTAAGCCTCACCTTAGGCTATACTATGTCATCCCTCATAGTCTTTGCAATTACCACCACTTCGTATGGGACTCGCATGCCCACTGAACCCCTTATCATCATATACCAATGATGAAACCCTTGTGGCTTCGTTTGCATTCGAGTGTACAAGTAATACACATGCAGTCAGGGACTGGCATGAAATCTATTGACTGCAAGTCCGCTTGGATATTTTAGGTCAACACATTCAATATGCATTATTGAAGGCTAACGATAAACTCCATGGTTTAACCCATGGGATGCACATTTGTACCTAATATACGCTCTCCACCATCCATTGAGTAAAATGAAGAACGGTAAAGGAAAAATGAAGAATTTTGGTGATGTATTTATTGTTTGTGTCAAGTGTTCATAATTTTTTCCTTCCTGTTCCTACTTCCTCGCTGGATTGATGTTTTTTGAATTTTCTTCGTGCTAAGAGCATATTTATTGAATGATATAGTTTCTATGCTGTACATCTTTAAGACATCATATATTTAAGGTTTCTGCTGAAAATGATTGATGATTTTCTATCTTGAATAGTTCTATAAACTCCCACTCATTGAATAATATTAGAGCATACAAGTTGTTTCTAAGCTCTGATGTGGATTTTCGCAGCCATGCTTATAATATGGTGTTACATAAATATGGGGAGAAACTTTATTCTGGACTTGAGTCAACAATGACATTCCACCTCCAGGAGATGTGTAAATGTATTGAAGCTGCCCCTGGTGTTTCATTTCTGGAGGAGCTGAACACAAAATGGGCTGATCACAATAATGCACTGAGGGTAATCCGTAACATTCTGATGTACATGGATAGGACGTATGTTCCAAGCACCCAAAAAACACCTGTCCTTGAGCTTGGGTTAAATCTTTGGAGGGACAATGTAATTCACTCTAGCAATATCTCAATCAGGCTTCTATACACTCTCCTTGATCTTATATATAGGGAACGCACTGGTGAAGGTATCAATAGAGAGCTGATGAGAAATACAATTAAAATGCTAGTGGAATTAGGATCTTCAGTCTACCAAGAAGACTTCGAGAAACCTTTTATTGAAGTCTCATCTGATTTTTATAGGATGAAGTCTCAGGAATTTATTGAGAGCAGTGATTGTGGGGACTATCTGAAGGAAGCTGAAAGATGTCTGGAAGAAGAAATAGCAAGGGTATTATGCTACTTGGAAGCAAAGAGTGAAGCCAAGATAATTTCTGTCGTAGAGAAAGAGATGATTGCCAATCACATGCTTAGACTACTTCACATGGAGAATTCGGGCTTGATAAATATGCTTCTTGATGATAAATATGATGAATTATCAAGAATGTATAGCTTATTTCGCCGGGTTCCTAATGGTCTTTCTATAATCCTAGATGTAATGACACCTCACATTAGAAATGCTGGTAGACAACTTGTTACGGATCCTGAGAAATTGAAGAATCCAGTGGAATTTGTTGACTCCCTTCTTGAGAAAAAGGATAAGTATGATAAGATCATAAGCTCTGCATTCAACAATGACGAGACCTTCCAGAATGCATTGAACTCTTCTTTTGAATATTTCATCAATTTGAAACCTCATATGCCAGAGTACGCATCATTGTTTGTTGATGATAAACTGCACGAAGGACTTAGAGTGGAAGAAGAAGAAGAAGATATTTAGATAATTCTTGACAAGGTGATAATATTGTTTCTTTATCTCCAGGAGAAAGATATAGTTGAAATACTATAATAAACATTTGGCAAAGCGACTCTTGTCAGGAAAATCAGTCTTTGGTAATGCTGAAACAAGTCTGATTGTTAAACTGAAGAGTGAACTTGGTATCAATTTACTTCAGAATTAGAGGGCATGTTTACCGACGAGAAGACCTCTCTTGAAGCAATGCAGGATTTTATGAAGCCTATGGTGCGGAGATGGGAAATGGCACAAGAGATAAGACGGGGTGGAGGCGGATAGCTTCCCCATATGGAGGATGCAATAGTAAGAATACCAAAATCTAGTGAGAACGTAGATCAGAACGTCATTGCTGAGGTTACAAAGCAATTGCAATCTCTTTTCCTGACCAACTTTGTTGATCTATTAAATTACGACCTGTTAGCACTGGTGTGTCTAGATAAGGCTAGGCTACCTTTTTTTTTTTCATACTATATTTGGACACGAGAGATAAAGAAATGATTATATCGATATCTTGCTTGAAGAATTAACTTCCAACGTATTTTACTCATTTTTGGTTGAACTTTTAGAATGGAACTGCACCTCTTTACTTGTTCAAGACTATGGTTTTGATTCCGGCAAGCTTCATTTCTATTGAATGAATTTCTATCGAAGGGCTTTTTATTTTCTTCCATTATTATTATTTTTTTTAATTTGCCACACACGAGGTACTATTTGATCATTGGAAAGAAGCCAATCTTTTGTCCATCGTGAATCCCATTCTTTTCCTCTATTGAGTTAATAAGTAGAAAACTATCAGTTGATCAAGGTCGTAATTCAACACACATACAAACATACTCGATCTTAGGACCATTACAGGTACGACCATCTTTCATTGTGACTTGAGTTGCCAACTCTCCGTCATGGCTTGAGAACAAACTTATTTATGGCACTATAATTTGAGGATTGATAGTTTAATTTTCCTTCTTTTTGCAAAATCCACGAAAGAGTCATTTTAAATTTGCTACCTTTGTAAGTTTTTGTCAGTTCAATGGACCCTTTCTTGAGGGTTAATATATTCATACAACACTTTTTTAGCTGCACTACTTTTTGATTCTATTTATCATATTCAATCTTCGCTCAATGTAGCAATTATGTCCGTAACATTTTTTTTTATGCTTTCTGATTTTTAACATTTAATTAATTAGCATTTCTCGTCTTTGATAACACTTCGTCCAAAAGGTCCGTTGGGAGGGCATAAAATAACTTGTTTATCCATTTTCAACACCTTCGTAGCCCCATCTGCAGTTGGAGAAGTTTTAATTGTCCCATCAATGAACATGTCATTGTTTATGAGGATGATTTGTTAGAAAAGTGCTCTGTTATAGTATTAGTGCTTGTTTGATAGAGATTTTGTTAATTGATTTTTTGATCGTTAGAGATAAAATGGTCTTACATGTAAGAGAAGAATTCAAAAATAACGACTGTAATAGTGAATTAACGGTCAAAAAATTGATGTTAATTTGATTAAAATCTCTACCAAACATGGTCTTAAGTACTCATGAAATTATGGTAATTAGCATCTTCTATGTGAGGCAGGTGTCCTAGGATGAGTTCGCTCATTCTTTCATTTGTTCCTTAATTTCTTCGGAAGTTGAAATTATCTTATCTTCGTTTTTATTTAATTAATTAAAGAAGTGATTTTCTTATAATTTCATTATATACAATAGAATTTTATTGTCATTTCATGCCTTCAGCTCTCATTTCAGGTTTCGCTACAGTGCATTATTATCGAACGGTGTAAAATGATCTCAAGCATACGATGACAATGTACAAAGAATTAAGTGCTTTTAACAACAATTTAAGTTCAAAAATGCTGTTTGTACAACATTTTTTTTTACAGCAATTTTCACAATTCCTTACAAAGATGGGGTCCACAATTATTTTAATCGTGGACCCCACCCACTTGCATGTATGTACGCTGTGAAAAAAGGTGTGAAAAGTGATGTACTTGTAGAATGGTTCATTTAAGTTTACTTCCTAATAAATTTTGGGTGGTCGACTAAATCTCATTTACCAATGCCTTCTCGTCATCAGAGGAACCTAATTTTATCTTCAAGAACTTGAAATTTGAATTCAATGAAAAACTGCTCTTTATCACAAATGAAAGTTAAAGCAGGAAGACACAGAAGGAATATCTTTTACTATTGAAGAAAGAAAAAGGCGTGTTTTGACTCTACCGACTGGATTGGACAAATCAACAGATTTTGTCGCTCTTTAATTCTGTCCAATCCTAGGTGTGGCAACTTGTCCTCATTTGCGAGTGTGCAACAGCCTTCTGTTATGATTTTTTGTAAAGAACATCTTCACTCAATTGAAGGCACCATATGCTTAATGTTGAAGAAACTCAATTAGAATGAGAGGAAATACAAAATACTGTTACATTTGCAACAAACCAAGAAAAAATAACGAATCAAAACCAATCAAATCTTCAGAAGTTTTGCTATGGCTACACCATTTCCTTGTACTTCCTCTGACCTGTATATATGGTGGAACATTTTTGCACTGAGAGTGTTTTCGAGTGCAGCTCCTAACTATTCTACTAATATACATATTATAACATATTTGGTATGGAGGATTGGATAGTACTCGACACTGTTAAGAAAGAAAACGTACTTTTCAATCCTGTCCAATACTTCATACCAAACATGCATAGAGCTTTCGGTCAAAACGTCCAAACGGAAGAGGAATCCCCGAAAACAAACTACCTGGAACGCCTGCAGCCTAGGTCTTTAGTGTACGAAGCCTGCAGTGTCCATCTTTAAATGCCAATTGCCTTGCTCTTGTCTGACGAACAGATACCCAGATTTTATCAAGTCCTATTATGGATGGGGTCTGATCCTCGTCCAACACTCCTTTTGCTTGATTGGTTTGTATCGAATTTCTTGCTTACAGGTGCTGGTTTCTTATCTATGTCGAGTGTACTCTGATTCTTTACCATTAATCGACGATCTTCTCTGCTTCGTCTGAGAGCGAGGTCTGCACTTCTCAAGCCGCAAACTTCTTGCGGGCGAAATACTAATAATCCTACACAAATGAACAAGGCCAATGCCCTATGGATATATAGAACCATAGCTCTTTGGTAAAAACAAGAGAAATGAGAAGTTTGTTTTGATTAAGAATGCTGAGAGAAAATTGAGGTTTGATTTCTATGTTTCCATTCCTGTAGATTTATGCTTGTGACATTGTCTTACAGAATTTATAGGGCAATTTAAAGGATAAAGCAGGAGGGTCCCAGAATCCATACAGGAGTTTTAGATTCATTTCCAATTGTAAAATTGCAATCTAATCAAATTAAGGCAATAAGGCTGTTATAAAAGAATCTGATTGGAATGAATAAAGACAATTGGAACAAAACCCTATGGAAGCCAAGCATCTTTTTTCATTTGTTTGCCTACATCTCTATCATTTGATCTGCTTTTGTCTTCTACACAAAGACCAATCCAGTTAACTTGGACTCCCAGTCATCCTGCCACATCATCAACCATGCTTGCTTTTCCACGCGACAGAGAACTCTCGTGTCGATCCCAAACAGATCTGATTGGAATGAATAAAGACAATTGGAACAAAACCCTATGGAAGCCAAGCATCTTTTTTCATTTGTTTGCCTACATCTCTATTATTTGATCTGCTTTTGTCTTCTACACAAAGACCAATCCAGTTAACTTGGACTCCCAGTCATCCTGCCACATCATCAACCATGCTTGCTTTTCCACGCAACAGAGAACTCTCGTGTCGATCCCAAACAGGTAATGGACAAGTGAAAGTAGCTTGCGGGTTGATAGTATTGTGAAACTATATCACATCTTATGACATGAATCCTTATATGCAAATTGATCGATGTAATTGACACTAAATTCAATGGGAAAATCTAGTAAGGCGTTTGTCTTCTCTGTCATCATTTCAAGCTCGAATAGATTGATGGACAGTATAGAACCTTACTGTTATCAAATTTAAATTTATTGACAATAACTATTTAAGACTTAGTTTGTCATCGTAATTGTTGTCCAAAGCCAAGAGAAAGAATAAACTTTATTGCATCTTATTACCCGAATTCTCGTACGAAAAAAATGTTCATACAGTTAATTTCAAATTTATCGAAAATAAGACTTACTTTTATATCGCCTTTGTGGTAATCAATCTTCCTTAGTTATTAAGAAAGAAGGTTTAGCTTGAGCAGCCAAAAACAAGGTCTCAAAGAGGGATAAGCTAGCAGTCGTAAAAGCAAATTGTGTAGAAAAAAAGATTGGAACCAAACATTAGCTTTATGCCATTTGAATATCTTACTTTAGAATTCCAAGCTCTCATATCTATGCAACAAAAAATAAAAAATAAAAAATAAAAAAAAGGAAGCAAAAAATCAAAAAACCAGTCTTGGTCTCTTGTGCTAAATGTTTTCCTTTTCATGCTTTTCTTTCTTCTTTTCTTTTATATTTTATTTTTTATTTTTTCCATTCAATGTTTAATGAAGATCCCAATCAAGTGACCCTTTCTCTTAAAAATGAGAAAAATAAATTTATTTTCCCAATTAACCAAGCAGGCCCTCTTTTTCTTTATCCACCTTTTTTTATAGTAATTAATTACAAAAATAGATGCAAGTTGGAACATTCTAAAGAACACCTTCATATGCTTTATTTGAACTTGCATTGATGAGATTCACTGTTATATTAACATTAAAGAATTTGTCGTTCAAAGATTACAAGGTACATGATTCGAGGTTGGTCTCTAATTTGAACTTCCAAAATTATAATTTAGATACGTTAAAGTAGAATTTATATTGGTGTAACTATGATACTATAAAATGCTAAGTAAAATATTATTAGCCAATGAATTGAGTCTCATATGTGCGAGTATTTATAAAGCGAGTCAAACATGTAATGAAGGTAATTTACCCTACGGTGAAATGCTTCTTGAAGTTGTTCGATAATTTTTGTGTATTCCATTATTTCATTGAAAAGAAACCCATTGTTATTGTCTAGTATGATAATTCATTGTCATTCGTCTCTAGCTGTCACTCATTACCAACCATTTAAACATTCTCGGACATCTCCTCCTCCTTCATAACTGGAATAACCGCTCTAAACTACATTAAAGAGATTGAGATAAACTTGTAAGCTTGATTCTCATTCTCGTTGTTGAGATCGACTTGTGAAACTCAAGCATGAGAAGCAAAGATCAAGATAGCATAGAGGCAGCACACTTATTTATTTGCAGCTATATCAAGCTGTTCTGTAACATTAGAGAAATAGTTCAACCATGATGTCCAAAAGTTAAAGTACAGAAGATAATATCGAAGAAAATTTTGAATACACATGACTTAAGAATAAACATCAAAAAATGCTACTGATATCGAGTTTTGTGGGTAAACATTTTACCAGTCGATATGTTAATCAAAAGTTGTACACAGTTACATCAAGAAGCATTGATAATTACCTATAGTTTGGTGTACTACTTTGTTAGATACTCTAAAGTACAGTTACTCTATTTAACCACAAAGGGTTTATAGCATCTTTTGAGTTGTAAGCAAATTATAAAAGAAAGCAAAAGATAGTT